AATGCAGTGGGAGTGGAATGATCCAGGTAAGCCAAGGAAGGCTTCATGGAAGAAGTGAATGCACCCAAAGGCTAGGTAGTAATTAGGCAAAATAGGAAGGAAGCACAGAGGGCCAGTGATGAGACCAGAGTGGGCCAGGAAGGGTGTATGTTGGGAAGGGACAGGACAATATGGATGATGAAGTTAGCCATATTGTGGAACTTCTGGAAAGCTGGGCAGAGGGGTTTGAGCAGTACGCTTTGGCAATAAGGCATCATGTAGATTGTTGAATAAGAGAATGACATATGGTTTGGACTTGCAGTTGAAGCACAGAATAGATTGAAAGCGGAGAGGTCAAAATCAGGGATCTTGACAGTATAGACACGCAATTCTGAGGCTATAGCCTGGGGTGAGAACAGGGAAAGGAGGGTGCCAGCCGTTCTGGAGGAATATGTTCAGTCGGGTGTTACCCCAGTTATAGATGGGGCCCTCTGACCTTTGCCCTCATAAATGAGGTTAAAGCATGAACTTAAATGAGGTACCATCGCATTCACGCTTATTAATGTCTGCTCCTTGAGTGAGGCAAAGACATCAAAAACAAAACAGAACAATCTCTAGGCAAGTCTATTGGCCAGCTGGTAAACTATGTGGGGAAGAAGAGAAAGAGTTAAGAGGTCTCTCTTATCTCAGGATTACAGTGACTCACATCCCACCTTCTTAAAATTTTTAAAAATTGGCTAATGAAAAAGTTCAGTCTCCAAATAATTTATCTCCAAGTGTTCCCATGGACCTGGCCTCCATCTTTATCCATCTTTCGCATGCCTCACCTCCCAGTCCAGGTATATTAGGAAGGCTCAGGTAGATTTTGGACTCTTTTTTTAATCTCCCAAAGGAAAAAGAGCCACTGTTTAAAGAGAAATGGATTCTGGAATACCTAATTAGGCCATTACAGTCAAAAGCAGAGTTGAATTGATAGACTAAACATAACTCTACAGTGGGAAATAAGGTTTAGGGAAATAAATCTTAGACTAGAAGGCAAGAGACAGAGTAGACCTAGAATAGACCATGTACACCTGGCTCTGTCGACAGCTGTGTGGCAGCCGGTAAGTCACTCCATTACTCTACGCCTTAGTTTCCCCATCTGTAAAAATGAGAAGAGCCTTTTCCAATTCTAATATTCAATGTATCTAATAGTTTATAGAATGATGTTTGAAAATGTCAACTAAACACAACTTCACAGAAAAAGATACCACCCCATTTACCACCCACAGTCATCCATATCATCTCTGTCTCTCTCTCTCTCTTTCTCTCTCTCTCTCTCTCTCCCTCC